ATTCTGAAATCTGAACTGGAATTCTGATGTGGTATTACATCACAGGGTTCAACATGGGAGCAATCTTCTGCGGCAGATATGTCAGGAATGACAGAGAAGTGACCTTGTCAGATAGTTGGATTTGGGAAATGGTGTTAAGAGGTGTGTGATGCCCACCTGTAGGACAACCTCATCAGTGTGTGTTTGTTCGACCCCACGGTGCTCCTGCTGTGGTATTAACAGAGCACAGTGACATGGGAGTCTGCAATCCCCTATGTGTTATAAGTCATTGGCAGTTTTAATGTTTTACTGGATCAGGTATCACATCTTGCACTCTGTGTTTGTTGGGATTGACTGCAGGATCAAAGAGGTCAATTGAAGTGGAGGATGCAGAAACTCTCCCTCTCATGAAACCGCACTTGCCAATCCCAAGCAGGAGTGACTGCTATTACAGTCTTAAAACATGTGGCTGACTCCTGAGCTAAAGATGCCTACACAGGTAAAACCAAATTCCATGATAAAGCCTTGTGCAGGACAGTACTACAAATTGGGGAGATGACTGAAACTACGATGACAACCAAAAAGAACTATTTTGAGCCCTGCTGCATCACCAAACACTGCTGCCACCACCCACAGTGAGCAGCCAAGGTGGCTGGTGGGGGTGAGGATATCCCTGTTTCCTTCACACAGCTCTTCCCACCGCCTTTGACTGTACTGTATTGTACTCCTGGTTCTGCAAGTGCATTTGTCAGGCTCTCTAGGCAGGGAGCAGGACACTTGATGTAAACCTAAACATGTAGGCTGCTCCACAGATGCTGGTGGGAGGGGAGAGATGCTGCAAATAGTCCCTCCTGGGTGCTTAGCACCCATCCCCATCTGCATTATGTGTAGCAGGTGCAAAATACAACTCTAATTTATCACACCTCATTTATCTAAGGACAAAGATCTTACTCAATTTAAATACTTTCTTTCCTGAAATATCCCTCCCCGACTCCCCATTCTTCCCTGAAGTTTGAGATTTATTTTTGAGCCAATTTTTTTAGGGAAAAGGCAGCTGGTGAATGTTCAGGTTCATGTGGCAATTAGTTCCCTCTTCCATTGAGGCTACAGCACAGTAGCAAGAAAAATGGTAGTGATACCCACCATCACCCAGAAGTAAGTTAATTTCAGCTGTTAATTCATTTTTTAATTTGTCTGGGAAACTTTTATCCACTTTTCATTTCTTCAAGGAATTCCTGAATGAGGTCCTCAGCTGGTATATTTGATTGATGGTGTTGAGCCCATTTATGCCAGCTGAGGACCTTGGGTGCTAGAATCATCAGGAGCTAAACCAAAGTTATGGGGTTTTTGAGCTGGATTCTTGTGGGGTGTATTTTGTTTGTGGTGGATTTTTTTTTTTGTCACTCATGATACAAGCTACTATCAAATTTATACAATGGAAACAATCCAGAATTTCTTTTTTCCATTTTGATTAAACTGTGTTCTGAGACAGTCTTATGTGCACTACTAAGCCTTTGAGCAAGTACTATTGTCTCCTCTCTTACTTGAATTCTGCAAGCTTCCTTCAAAATTCAATCTTTCTTTTTTTTTTTATTTTGTGCAAGCCTTAGCATCCCATTAGCTGACATCAGCCCCAACATCTCCTCCAAACAACTTTGTCTTCATACAAATAAACTGATTACAGTGTGGTTTATTGGGCACTATCCCTGCTCCTGTGATCTCTTTCTAGATTACACCTTCAGGCACTGCTCTTTGCTCAGGAGGACACTACCTGCACCTTCCTGAGAAAAATCTGCAGTATGGTAGCTCTTACAGCAAAATGAAAGAAAAATCTTTAGGAAGTAGGCAGTGTTCAGGCCTACTGTTAATAGCCACTGTTCAGTGACTATTTATAAGTGGGGTCTTCTTGCTTATGGCAAGAACTTAGCAGTTCCAGGAGAACCGTTCTACTTAGGACCTGTGGTGAAGAAATTGTTGGTGTAAGGGTTTGCTGAAGTCAAGAAAAAACTAAAACAAAACAAAGTCCCCCATGCACACACTCTTATCTGAAACATATCCCAAGTCAATAAAAATTATGCTGAGACTTCTTTCTTTTTACTTTCTTCAAAGTATAGAAAAACAGTGGGAGAATGGGGACTGGGTGCCTTTACATCTTATTACTTATGAATCAGTTCAGGCAGGAAGAACCCTACAGAAGAGCTGTGTAATTGTGTTTGGATCTATGTGGCAAGGGAAACCCAATGCAATTTATCAATAACACAGCGCAACCTCAGCTCTGAACTCATGACACAGTCAATGTAGGGGAGAAAGGCACCTCCAGAGGCTGATTGATCTTATCCATCTAGGGATGAGTAATCACATATCTCTCCACTGACACTTTGCACATTGTATGACTTAATCAGATTTAGAATAGAATCACAGAATGGTTTGAGTTGGAAAAGACCTTTAAAGGTCAACTAGTCCACCCTCCCACTATGAGCAGGGACATCGTCGACTAGATCAGGTTGCTCAGAGCCCTGTCCAACATGACCTTGAATGTTTCCAAGGATGAGGCATCTACCACCTCTCTGGGAAACCTGGGCCAGTGTTTTACCACCCTTATTGCAAAAAATTTCTTCATTATAGCTCATCAAAATCTCACCTCTTTTAGTTTAAAGCCATTGCTCCTTGTTGTGTTGCAACAGGCCCTGATAAAATGTTTGTACCCATCTTTCCAGTAGGCCTCCTTTAGGTACAGAGAGGCTGCTATAAGGTCTCCCTGGAGCCTTCTCTTCTCCAGGCTGAGCAACCCCAACTCTCTCAGCCTGTCCTCACAGCGGAGGTCCTTCATGCCTCTGATGATCTTCATGGCCCTCCTCTGGACTTACTCCAACAAGTCCATGTTCTTCTTATGTTGGGGGTTCCAGAGGTAGAGGCAGAACTGCAGGTGGGGTGTCACCAGAATGGAGGAGAGGGGCAAAATGGCTTTCTTTG